CAGGAAGGCCCGTACTGCCGTCGCACGTTTTCATGCTACTACTCCCTCAAACGCCACTTCCAGGACAAACACGAGCAATCGGATACGCTATACGTCTGCGAGTTCTGCAACCGTACGTACCGTACGAAGAACTCGCTGACGACGCACAAGAGCCTGCAGCACCGCGGTACCAGCGGCGTGCTGAGGAGGCTCCTAAAGGCCACGGCCATGAAGAATGTCTTCGGTACCATGCAACATCAAATGCAGATGCAGCAGCAACCGCAATGAAAACGTCGGAAAAACCAAAGTCTCCCTATGCTGGATCGTCCGCGTCGTCATCGTCGTCGTCGTCGTCGTCGTCGTCGTCGCCGCGGGGGTCTCCCCGCCGCGCTGTCCCAGAAAAAAAAAGCGTCTTCGTCGTCGTCGTCGTCTTCGTCGGCGTCGTCATCGCGCTGCTAACGTCATCGTTCTTCGCGCGAATCGCTTGATTGATTGACGTCATCAGGCATCACATAACCCGAGAACCAAGGCTAGATTATCGAGAGGATACGGAAGTACTACTTTGCGTACCCCCAGGAGACACTCCCGTATTCAATTTAAGCTACACTCAAAGTCAGTTAGCTCGAACCGTAGTTTATCAATCGCACCTGGCTCTTAGGTCGCGATTTGCACAAAAATCAGTTAGCACAGACCACCACAGATCACACAGATCATTTCTAAGCAATTTTTTGAAATACGTTATTGATAAACCGAAACAGAGCGAATATAATCGTTGATTACAATTATTTAACCGAGATTATCGATGCAATTCGTATTACGAGCTATAGTTGGATTGAAGTGAATTAGCAGCATCCTGGATTAACGAGATCTTGTTTCTCTCATCTACGCTGTATTTAGGTTTGTAATCCGCGGAAGAAGAGACTGCAAATCGCTAAATCGAGATTAGTAAACCCAGGAGCAATTTAGCTCTTGTTAAATTGCAACGAAGCCCTCGTAATTTCAACGATTAATTTACTCTTATTTACTCGCATTTGCGGAACACATAATGTCTATCGTGATCAGTTATCGTAAGACGTTAAACGAGAAACGGATTAAAGAGAAGGGTGGAAAGCAGAGAGTTACATGGAAGCCCGAATCGCGGATAAGTCAGATACAAATTTCGGCATTTTCTCCCAGTTTTCCCCCTCGCTTTTCCATCGTCCATCCGACGAAAACATGCGCGATTCTTCTTTAGTTTAGACTCGCCAACGTAGCGTTGTAATTTTTCTTCGTCAAGACTGCAATGAATCCAAAGAAGGACAAATTTGACTGAGAAGCTTTGTAATTCGACTGAAACGTGAAGGAAGGGGAGGAGGCTCCAACGTTAGTTTAGTGCGCGAAACAAAGATACATTCCATTATCAGCGATCAGAATGCTGATGACGCCGAATCGGTCAAACATTTCGACTGTCCGGCGAAATTTCGAATGAAGAATCTACACGTGAGATGCGTTTTTGAGGACGACATTATCCCGCCGCGAGATTTTTTTTTTTTTTTTTTTTTTAAGTTAACGTTCTTCAAAAAGCGGGCATTCATGCGAAAAGATTAGGGAAGGATGTAATTAAAACGAGACGTTTTGGGATGGAAACGGTCTTCCGGAAATCATTTCCGAAATCGAATTTACGTTACGGATGGAATTCTTTCTGTATCGGCGCTCTCGAGACGCACGTCTAACGGTTTTTCATGTAGATGACAAATATACACGTCTAGCTGTCGCGTGTAACCGGCCTCGCGTCGCGTCCTCGTGAACGAAATAATTCGCGAACGGTCGGGCTAGACACGTCGCCCTGTTAGGCGAATGGAACAGTTTGAGACGTGCTGAGACGCGGAGCGGTGTAAAACGTCGAATTGCGGACGATCAGGCGAGAAACTGAGGGGACAATCATGAGAATCGTGAATGAGTGATCGGCAATCTGGCGAAATATAGTACGTCCCGATTTGCATGCGTGTTACGTATATACGCGTGTGCATGCCAAATGCACTTTCACGCGGCCGTATCGCAAATGCGCCGAGGTCATTTATACACACACATACACACACACACATACACACACACACACACACACACACACACATATATATATATATATATCAATGAGGGGGGAGGGCTGAGGGACAAAGTGAATCAACAACGTTAGGCCTAAAGGCGAAAACGAAGGCGCGAGGATGCACCGACGCGTTCAAAACGCGCGAAAGTGATGCCGATCGGTGAAATGTGTTCGCGACGGCAATCGAGGTCGAGAGGTGTTGCTAATCGATGTGGTACTCTTCGATTTAGCATATGTAGGAGGGAGACGGGATCGGTACGAGACGAGAGAAGAGAAAGGCAAGAAGAGCGTGTAGGTGGTAGAGATATATCATGGGTTCTTAACGTGTATATGTAGATTCGTCGTATGCGCTAAATACAAACTATATTTTTAACTCTTTAAAAGTAATATTTTGAGCTGTAAATATATTATATTCGTACGATACATCGATAAACGATGATATTCTCCTGTTCAGATTTTATAAAAATCGGCATAGTCCTACGTAGGTATGTCTCACGGACGAGCGGAGCAGTGCTACGGAGCTTAAAGCCCCGCTTTCTAATTATTCTTTTGCACTTTTTTTAGCAAGCATTTACAACAACTGTCTCTGTACAACGTGCATTTCTTTTTAATAGCCAAAAAAAAAAAAACTCAGCTAGGTTAATTAAGCCAAGGGAATTGTTCCGTTCACATTCCGTTATGTTCTCCGTTATATTGCAAAGTGATTTCCGACAAATCGATCTCCAAAACGGTCCAAGTAGCCTAAATTCGCGAGAGATTATGGAGCACTGCTCTGTTCTTCAAACTTTAATATATCCACATTAACAAATGTACAAGCAAGAAGAAACCCTAAAAAAGTTGTTCATCGTAACATATTCAGGTTTAAAACTCAGCGTAGAGAACGAGAAAAAAATGTTGATGTTTTATCTGTAAGGCGAAAAAGGAAATGCCATAATAATTAATGAGCAAGTACAAATTATCGTGAAAAAAAATATAAATTATGTCTACGTCTTAACTTTTAGGATGCGTAGTATCGGAAAAGGAATATTTAACGCGGAGGCGCGTAATAAGGAAAACAGAAAACGGCTGGAAAGGACACAGCCTGCCTCGAATTTCATTTCGTGGCCGAGTGAAAAAAGATTGAACGGGAAAAGAGAAAGAAGAAAATGCGCGGGGAAAGGGAAAAGGGAAAGGGTAAGCACGAGTTTCCAAACATATCTTCGAAGTGTGAAGTATACTGTGAAAAATATACGATTTTAGATATTTAGCTATCTCTATATCCCGAGAGAGATTTTATAATTATTATGTATACATTCTTAAATCGGTGGACCGATAAATCTCTATCGGTGACGTTTGGCCAGGACATAATGTGGAGGGCATTAGAGATCGATTGAACGCGAAGTGCGGCCGAGATCCGCGAGATTTTACGTTCTTGTCTTTCTTCTCTTTTGCTTAAAAGAAGAAAAAAGTCACTTTTTTTAGACTAAAGATACGCGATTGGTTAGTGAAGAAAAAAAAAAAAAGAAAAAGAAAATTTATCCTAGTCATTCCGGAAATTTTTGTGATTCTGTGATATCGGGGATCGTGGCAAACGATTCGACGAAAAGAGAGAGATTAAAGAAGTGTGTGTGTCTGTCCACATTATGATCACCGGACGTACTTTTAAAAACTCTTCTAGCACGCGCGCGCGTGCGACGAAGGAAAGAAAATTAATAATTGATTATTAACTGATGGGAAATTTCTGTGATGTTCTTCGGTTGGTATACTAGCGCGACTGAGCTATGTGAATGGAAAAAAAAAAGTATACGGAATTTATGTCGATGTTCGGTGTTGTACGCTGTATTGTAAGAGGTGAGACTGTATCGGGAAAAATTTCATCGTATTGCTTTGAAATTTTCGAGATGGGGTGGGGATAAGAACGGAGTGTCGGGCAACCGCTGATCAATTTATCGATCCGAAAGGGAAATGCGTTGTACTTTGACGACGAATAATTTTATATTTAAAATCTGATTATACATTAATTGATCGGTGAAAAGAGTGATTCGGTCGGTAATTTCGATCGTCCTTCTTTCATGTTTGGTCTGAAATTTCATAGATACGTGTATAATGGATCGTGAAATATATTTTTCTCTTCACTTTATACTTATACGATACGATAAGTACATTTAGCACGACGCACGAACGATCAACTGTTGCCACTCATCGCCTGAGATAGACTTAGTCTAGTGTAAACGTTTAGTAAAGTTCCGCACACGCGTGTTGGGTGGATAAGTATGCGCGCACGAGTGTGTATGTGGGTGTCCATGTGCTCGTTCACGTGCACGTCCGCATGCACACGAAGTACGTAACTGCTGCAGGGTAAACGACCCATTACACGCCGACGCGAACGCGAAAAAAATAACGAGAGAAAAAAAAAACAAAGAACGACTATAGATTATTTATCGGAATGTGCCAAGGTCCCGAACCGTTTACACGGACGAAATTTTTAGGTAGGTACGCGCCCCGTCTCTCCCGTTGAGGAGGAATATTATCAATATTAATCGTTTTAGGATACGATTCTGCGGTACGATTTTTAAAAAAAAAATGAAAAAAATTATCGTGGAAACTTTTTGGGATTTTTAATGTATATGGAACTTTTCGTCTTGTATCGTTTATCTTAAGAGGGGAAAAAAAAAAAAGAAAAAGAAAAAGAAATTCCGAGAGGAGGTGTGTGTGACGCGCGGCGAGAATATTTTCGATTTTATCCAAACGTTATTTTTCGCTCGCATCCTGCGTATAACTCGTGCGTGTACGCCGGCATACTCGTGCTTGAGAGATGTAAAGAACCGCGCGCGCATTTCCGAAACGCGAGCGAGGGCCGATCGACTATAATTTTACACCCTGACCGTGTAACTCAGCAGGATTTATTATCGCGGCGTTAGGATGCGATGCGTGTGTGTGTTGCTTCGTGGATCGCGGACTGTACGGAGATACCGCAGCATCTCTCTGCGGTCCACGCGGTTGCTGTTCACTTAGTTACGCGTTTTCGCGCGACTCGCCTCTCGACCGGCGACAAAAATGGTGCAATCTCATCGTCAGCAGGCTAAAACGCCCCATATCGTAGCCATTCAAAGCAGGACCGTTCTTCCGGTGCGTTCACATCCTGGTGTTCGCCATACTCGCACACATTATTAACCGCTTCCTTCTGACCCGTTAAAAAGCCACTTCTAAGTTAGTCACCCATTCTTCGACGAACGGGTTCTTCGGCGTAATTCGAATCGATGTAACTGAAGAGGTCAAGTTCACTTTCTGGCGCTGTGACGAATACTTTGATACGCGAATTTACTTTTGAGAAGGCTGATTTTGTAACGTTTAATTGTCAATTTATTTAAAGACTCAAATTTATTTCTATTAGTTTCCTCGTTCTTCTTAATTCCTATTTTTAGAGGAACCGACTGATTAGATTTCCTGTTTTTTTTTGTTTTTTTTGTTTTGATTGGTTTAAAGTTTTCTTTTATTATGTGATATTATATTACCAAAGAGCATCGAGAAAACTTTACAACTTTACTTTTCTCTGACGCGAGTGGTATTTACCTTGGAAAAGTATAGAATCGCAAATGTCGCATTTATGATCGATAAGTTTCCGTCAAAATTCGACCGATTACTTTTAATTTCTTTTGTTTAATTTTTTTTTGTTTATTTTATCACGAATAAAACACGCAATTTTTTAATTTGTATTAACTGGAAAGCCGATGCTAAATTGACAATAGCGATTCAGAGAATTCTAATTGGAAATATCACGAGAGTCCGGGAATGTTGTAAATCGATTGTTTAGGAACAGTCTTCGGTTTTAATGAAAAGAGAGAAAAGAAATTTTTATTTCCAAAAAGGGGGATCAAACGAAACTATAAAAGGAAAATAAAGAGAAGTGAGAAGCTCATCAATACTAATCAATAAAACGAAATAACAATGTAATTATATGAAATTAAAGAAAAAAAAAAAGAACGTCGTACATAGGAGAAAGACTACTTAGATTTATTTTTATTATGTCTTCTAAAAGACTTTAAATAAAATATTTAAATTGTGCCATAATTAATATTAACAAAATCTTAAGTATAAATTTATTGTTACGAAAGTTTTTAAATTTATCGGAAGAAATGAAAATTACAAAAAAAAAAAGATGAAAAGAAATGATAAAACGCTAAGAAAATATCATTACTGTCTATGGGTAACTAATAGTTCTTAGAGAAGAAACGTCGTGTCAGTTTAATGACGATTGTCGTATCAACAAGAGAACTTAGAATTAATAACGGTTGGTTACGCTCAATATAACTAAGAACTTACATAATATGGATCTTTTCTACTTGTACCAAAAATTTTATTGCTAGCTGTCGACTTTGTTTTCTTTTTTATGTACATAGGGCATTACCTCATATCGTTCTTATCGAATATATAATGCGAGATTATAATTAAGGGACGTTTGACTACGGAGACGGGTGCTTCATCAGTCAGATATTACACCGAGAGAAACATATGTAGGTCGCGCTAATGGCGATAAAATTGGTCACATACGATATACATATACCGTACACATATACATATATCATACATTTTGTCATATACATGACAAAATCATTATGTTACTGCATCAACATGTCGGCGTAATGCGACATTAAGCTTGACGAATATCTGGCGAGTGCGGCACACCGTCTACAGTCAATTCACCAGCCAATCCAATTATTTGGGCCAATGGGAACTTAGCGAGATTTCAAATGTCGTACGTTGTCTGTCGTTCAGCGAGCGAAAGACAACGTCGGAGAATTCGATGCACCCTTAAATGTACATACATGTACTTCTCTAGAGAGTGAGTGAAGAGAAAGAGAGGGAGAAGGAGGAGAGAGAGAGAGAGAGAGAGAGAGAGAGAGAGAAAGAGAGAGAGAGAAAGGGGAGATAAACACATCTCCAATGTATAATTGAAGTGTACATGTGTATACATATGTATGTGTGTACGTATACATATATGTATACGATATATCTGTATATATATATATTAGATTAAAGAGGCACGCCGAGCGTGTACGAGCTGTTGCGAGTAATCGAATCATAAATCGCATGAGCGTAAACGAATGAGGTATGCGCTATTTTCTTAATGTATCATACAACGTAATAGGCACGAAGAAGGGCTCGTAACGGATGTGGATTCGTTTCTGTCCATTCGTTCAGGAAATAGAGAAAAATTTTTAAGATAATTTTCTTCTGAGAAAAGAAAGAAGAAAAATAAAATAGAGTTAAAGAGAGGAAGCAAAAATTGGGATGGGAAACGGAGGTTCTTGCGACACTTGGAAAGAGACTTTGCATCCACAGCAGTTACGTTTCTCTTCGCTTCACGCATTGTACGTCCGTTATTTCTGATACTATTATAAATATCATTATACGTATATTAAACATATCTTCCGCGAGTCTATCCATATATAGAGAGAAAGAAGGAGATACTTGTGTATTCTAATTCAACGCCGGAGAATTTTATATATTATGCTTTATGTATTATGATTATCTCATTGTCACCGTCTCATCATCGCCGCCACCTAATCTTCATCAATGTCATTTTCATTGGCAATAGCATTTTTCTCATCGCTATAATTATTTTATCATTTTTAATTATAATTATAATTATAAATGTCATTAAGAGAGAATGGAAGAGAGTGATAGAGAAGAAGAGAGCCAGAGAATGAGAGAGAAGGAGAAAATAGAGTGGGAGGGGAGTGTGTGTGTGTGTGTGTGTGTGAGAGAGAGAGAGAGGGAGGGAGAGAGAGAGAGAGAGTGAGAGTGAGAGTGAACGCAATACATTAGTTTCTATGGCTATTATTATTATTACTGCTGATGTTATTATTGTTATAAGTATCGCTCTACATTACTATTATTTTTAATATTGTCAATAATTTTTTGTTATATCAATACGTTTATTATAAGATTATAACTTAATTAAATTTGTTCATAAAATGTGTACGATATCGAGGACTGGTCGACGGTACGTTATGTTGCACTATGTACGCATAAACATTGTATAGATACCTTTGTTAGAATATCTAATTTTTCAAATCCTTATTTTTATTTCGTATTCTATTACGACGTTTTACAAAACCGATTGTTTAAATGTGTTAGGGGATCTTATTGACCTATTATTATTATTATTATTATATCAGTTATTAATTATTATATTATTATTATATTTTGCTGCTATTATAGTAATTACAATTATTATATGACTATTGCTGTTATTATGAGTACTATATTGCTATTATCGCCATTCACCACTACAATTATCTTTTACAGCTAATACCGCTACCGCTACGTAATTGATATAGCTATTATAAAAAAGAGTATATTTATTCGAAAATTCGTTGTGACGTATGTATTTCGTCCGCAAATCTGAGGCGAGAAGGAGGGAGATACATAGTTACGACGTGTGTATAAAGACTTCGACTCACAAATCGCAAGGGACGTCCGCATATATCAAAAAATATTTGCCGACGCGCACGCGACAATGTATCGATCCCTTTTTATCGCTACATTGTAAGCTTAATTTTAGTTGCATCATCGTCACAGAGATCATAAGCTGTCGAAATGTAGAGCGGGTCGTAGAACGCAAAAGGATCCACGTGTTGCAAGAGCAGAGAAGATTATAGTGATTTTTAATTTAATTGTCGATTTCTTTTTTATTCACAATAAAATTCTCGTGTGTTCTGGAGGAGGTTGAAGAGCATTAATGGAAATACGAGATTATCGCGAAGCGGAAGCAGTTCTAGCGTGGACTCTGCTTCTTACATTTCGTTTTGCATTTGCGTTTCTTCACCATACTCGAATCTTGACATAATGTTCAAAATCAAATGAGTGAATAACTATGCTATTTCTCATCTACAAAATTGAGAAGTAAAGAAATTGCAAGGCTTGACGCGAAGTCCGAATATGTAGTTTTTCTTTTCTTCATTGATTCTGATTAAAGACGATTAAAAACATTTTATGAAACTATATAGATATTTACCTTAATCATTTCTAGCCAATTTCTAGCTGTGAAATAGAAATTTTAACCACTTGCCAAGTATAATGGAGTGACGATTAATATTAATTTTTTTACAATCTTTATTCGACATTTAATATTTATTTTCCTCGAGCGTTTAATTTTATTATCGCTACAAGGCAATGACATTTATTTTTCGAAATTATTTCAAAGTGCATTATATCGCGATTCGAGTTCGCCTACGCTTTTTACATCCCGTCGTATCAACCTATTCATTGAAGTCGAGCGATTTAATTGTAACAAAAAAATGACGCCATCAACATGAGTCCATATTAAGTTTTTAAAACAAAGGATCAACGCTACTTGACAAGAATTTCCGCACAATTTCGCGACGTTGTGGAATCTTCGGTGGACAATCACGGCCCGACTATAATTATAATGTAAACAAAGTGCAACACGCTGCCTTGCTGAACAGTACAAGTACAAAACGAAATACAAATACATAAAGAAAAAGAAGAAAAAAAAGAAAAAAAATCGCGTCTTCGATTTAATGGACGGGAAACGATTACCGGTAGTTAAGGGATATCAAAACGAAGATAAAAACGATGACAAATTGTTAAGCCGTTAAGTGATGGAAGAAAACAAAAAAAAAAGATAAATAAATAAATAAAAAGAAAGAGGCTCCGTTGTGCATGTGACAACGGCTCGGATCCGTCGATCATACCATGCATGCACGAAGGCTAAATCAACGACGGTGAAAATGCGTTTGTTCACAGATACCTCAGTTGCCGTGGCCTCAGACCCTTTCGAGTTTTACAAATCACTTTTCGCTACAATACGTGTCTTGTCCGTCTGTCTGTCGCATTTATGATTTGAAAGAGAGAGAGAGAGAGAGGGAGAGAAAGAGAGAGAGAGAAAGAGAAGAGTGTAACGTGGAGTATCGTGCATTTGTGTAAACTGATGGATCGTGTATATAGATAATATTGTGTGTGTACAGTCGTCGCGATAATTGTGTTAACGCGCGTCTACTTGGCTGGTTTGCGTCATTTTGTGTGTTTAGCGAGAATAATATACCGATATCAATCCTTGCTTCGAGTCTGCGCCCGGATCGTATAGAATGAACGATCGCTTCGACTATCAGTAACAAATGTTCTTTTTCTTTTTTTTTTTTTTTTTTTTTTTTAAACGATATATGCAGATCAAATTCGAGCAGATGATTAATTTGATCGGTTCAAAAGGTGTAAGAGATACAAGAATACGTAATTGCACTATAATCCAGCACCAAATTAGCAATCTCTTCAACGTTTGAACGTCGAAAGCGGAATAGATCTTTGTATCTCCTACACCTCTTTTCCTGCAATATAATTTAATCAGTCACTGGACACGCAACGGATATACACGTGCATATATTTTTATCTCGTGAATTACATGCATCTCTTCTTCCCTCGCTGATCGTTCTTCCGTCACGCGTCTCCGAGCCGAAGAGATCCGTCGTGATCGTCATACAACCGACCTCCGTGTAACGACTTACGTAATTAGTATATACATATACGAGGCTCTCCGCCGTCGAGCGATTGATTCCAAGCGGGCTCGTACCTCCGTCTACATTCGCGATATAATCGAGATTAAGATGAAGCAACATTTATTCCGATTAAGCCTATCCGATAAAGAGCCTAATTACGCCTCCATGAAATCATAATCCGGATTAGCTCCGGAAAAAGAGATCTACGCACAAATGCGAAGCTTCCCCGGCCACTGCCGAGTCCGAAGCGAGACGACACTGCCAAAAATCTATTGCATACAGCTCGTTAGGATCATCAAATTCCATCGCCCATCCTCCCACCCATGGGGATCATCCCGAATTCGTCTAAATAATGGATGTATAATCTTCCGCGTCTGAGGCTCGGCAATAAGATATACTTCTCATCATAAGCTACAATAGTTGTTGTACTTATTTCTTCTCTATTTTTTATCATCAGTCTCTGGATGTTAATGCGGCTACGAGCAACACGTGCATCGTTCGTATGCGACGGACTCCCATAAGAATGCACGGGAAACGAGTGATAGAACGACGCATGTGAGCGCGAAATTCGCCGTATTATTATTATTATTATTATTATTATTATTATTATTATTATTATTGCTATTATCATTATTATATTATTATATTTTACAGAATGCGGATATTAGATATAAAGATATGTATAGATAGACCGTACACAGACAGAGACGTACACACAATGCGAGCGCGCAAGCACGCGCTGTACACGCGCACACATGTACACATATTGTTCCGTTATCGCCGTTATACCATCCGTGTAACATAACATTGCAAATAAACTTGCAGTTTATTAACCGATCAAACCTGTGACTCTTTCCGAATGATCCTGTTCTATATGTATGTAAGATAACCGGAAATAAATGTTCTCGTGCTTGGGCATATCCGATTTTAATAGACACATCTCGTATCCAAGAAAGATCGATGAAGGCGAGAAAGAGAGGATTTATTTAAAAGTAAAGCTTAATTGCTGTATTTTTTGCGTACGCATTAGTAAGTATGATAATTTATTTTAATAATTTAAATTATAAGATATAAAAGCAGATGATTTCGCTCATTTAAATTTTCAGTTTTTGCTAGAAAATATAAAGGAAAAATTACTTTAACTTTAGTTAAATATAAGATATTCTGTGTCGGGGGAAATATTGTAGTTAAAATAAAATATGGTAAACAGATATTTTTAATGCAGGGAAAACATTTAAATGGATTCGATAGAAATATTTATTTAGATCGAGGATGTATCTATAAATATGCTATTCGAAATAAGTGTTTTGTGTAGTGAATATAAAAGAGGCAAATAGTGTTTATTATTTACATTAACATTTATTTAAAATAAGATATTTATTTGACATTTTGATATTTCGTGGTTAAATAAATTCTATTTTCTATATTTCTCAGCAGCACAAAATAGAAAATAGTAAAATACTGCATTACATACTAGAGTATCACTTACATTGAAAATTGTGCATAGAAACGTCATTAGATTTCCTCGATGTAAGCGATACCTTGACTGTTCTAAGCACAATTGTTAACGTTAAGCGATATACCTTGTTGACGGAAACGCATTTCAAATGATTCACAGGATAACATCTAGTATATAATACAGTATTTCATTCGTTACTCAACGTTAATACTGAGAAGAACCCAAAACTCGGATCGGAACGTATATGTTTAGTTTATTTTATATGTGTGCATTGGAAAATAAATTATAATTCGCAACTACAATTAGCGTTAGCTCTCAGCAAGCTTTTTAACTATCTCTCTCTCTCTCTCTCTCTCTCTCTCTCTCTCTCTCTCTCTCTCTCATTGATTATTGTCATTAGAGCCTATACTTCTTTGATTGATCAAAATATATTAAATAAATATCTTATTTCAAGTAAATGTTAATGTAAATAATAAATATTATTTGTTTTTTTATATTTACTGTGTAAAATATTTATTTCAAACAGTATTTTTTACAGATTTATCCTTTAAACATTTCAACTAAATTTATTTCAATTTTTCCCCAGTACTGAAAATATCAAATAAGCAAAAATAAAAAAATATTTAGGAATGCAGATATTCAAAGTAACGTCGATTTAATCTCTATTATATAGTCTACTAATTTGAGGATTTTGTCAATCTGATAATTATTAATTATGTATGTCACAAATCTAATATTAACGGACAATATTAATTACACCATAGTTTCAATTACTATCATCAACAATATTTTACACATATAATTTTGATTAGAACTGCGATAAATTTTATTTTGAATAATTTATTTTCCTTCATTATTTATTCTATCAAAAATAATAACTAACGTAATACATTATTGTGAGTATGAATTATGAAGTTATAAAAGTAATTGCGTAAAGTTCTAATTTAAAAACATTCCGATTAGATATTAATCTAAAATAAATATGTCGTATATGAAAAGAACGATTTTGTGAAAATTTAAAATTTAGCTTATATAGGTACAAATCTGAAATTAATTGTGTTGGATCATCAAAATGATCACGTAGAAAACTCAAATATAATGAGCAATGCTACAAAAAAATTTTGACATTTTAGCAATCAATTTCAACGTGCTACGTAATTATTTTGATGTTTGAACTAAATTATTTTCAAATCTCTATTTAGCTGAATTTTTTAGATATTTTAGTGTGTCAAATCTTCTTTCTGCGTATTTGAACTAAAATCGATCATGCAGCAGTTGTAATATTCGTGATTGAAACCCGAGGTAAATGTTGAACGAAGAAGATGAGTAGTAGAACGACATGGACTGCTAGCAACTATTTCCACGAATATAGACCACGTCTCCACCCATCGAGCGACGGACGAAATATCGACGCATCGGCTTTACCATGAAGTCTCGTGGCCTTGAACGAGGGGCGCAATCTTCGACAAGGCAGTATGGCGCCGGGGTGAGTTTGCGCGAGCGCGGCATCGGGTGGTTCCCCTATCATAGTCACAGCAGCATATCTCGTTATAGTTGGATCTTTTCCCAATTGACCCTTAAGGCTAGATTCTAACTCTTAAACGTAGCGAGACTACGATAACAATATAATTGGGAGAAGAGAGATTAAGTTGCCGATAAACGAAAGTAATTTAACATTAATCATCTGTATATTTGATTTGGATGTTGCTTCATGTTATTAACGTAGATATACGCAATTTCTCAAATAATTATCGAGGAGAACTTAGAAGCCCTTCAGATCATTGCGATTCGTTATTTTCCATTTATCTTTTACACGGACGAACGCAGGATGGAGCATAATGGAATGGAAGAAAATCAGGGAAATCGCGTGGGAGCGCGCGTGCGCTCGCTCGCACGTGTGAGAGGGTGTGCGCTGGATTAGAATCGACTGGGGGTAGGTGCGGCGGCAGGGAAGATGCAGTGGCAGGGGTAGAAGGAAGGAAGGGTAGAGGAAGAGCGCGCGGAAAGGAAAGAGAAGCAGACAGATACGATCGGCGCGAAGATTTAGTCAACAACGCGCGACCACCTGTAGTTGTAGCTTCCAGCCATCCCTGAGAGCTACCCTTCTCTCTCTCTCTCTCTCTCTCTCTTTCTCTTTTTCTCTCTCTGTCTCTCTGTGTCTCTCTCTCTCTCTCACTCCGCGTCGCGCACTCCGCAACTTTGTCCGTCCCATCGTGATAGCCACGAGAGTCTCAGTTCGCCAGTTCCGGGTTGCTAACTCTAGCTGACATCCGGGTCAGATAGAACTGCCGGACGGACCGCGGGGGAGTCACCGACGATCTCGCGCCGCGACAAACGGCGGAAACGGAACGCGGGAGAACAGCTTCGGCTCCGTCCGAGAGCTGCGTGGAAGGCAACGACGCTGGCGGAGGCAGGTGACCCCGGACACCATCCCGATTTACATCTCGTAGCAAGCTGCCAGGATTACCACCAAAATGAAGACATCTTCGTTCTCTCTTCGCGTGATGCGTCGGGTGAGTACAGATTTTATCGTATATCCGTATTTCCAGCCGCCAAATGGCTGATCGCCGCCACCGCCGCCGCTGCCGCTGCCGCCGCCGCCGCCGCCGCCGCCTCGCCAAGGGACGAATTTCGAGAGGCGTCGGTGGAGTACTTTCGATAGGAAATTGTCTCGTTACTAAGGCACGATTGAAATTGCGGATAGTTCCTTTCCGCATCGAGTAAATGGCACGAAATAAATTAGGAATTGAAAATTGTTGGAACTGACACGATTGTAAATTTCAGACTTTGATAGTGTAATTTTTTTAATAAAAAGACAATTAATATAAAGTAGCGCAGAAGAAAAATTAAACGTTATATATCGGTTATCTCTGGTAAATCTCGATAAATCTCTGAAATAAACTTGAAATTTCAAAACTGTATATCAATTTTTATGTGTTTTTTTTTTGTATGTATCGCACTCGTTGGAAAATAATCGAGAAAAAAACTAATAATGGTACACACTATATGACTGCTGCTACTTTTGACCTATTTTATAAACCTAGTACGCTTTGTGGAAGATACCTATCCTACGGAATTTCATTTTAATCAACAGCATGATTGTGTGAAGCGCGGACGGAGATCGATGCGACGTATCGCTCAGTACATTAATATTTATGAGTTTCCTTCCGGCTAGGAGAGAGTGAGTTTATCACAAGGTTCAAGTTAACTCGAGTGCGCTCGAATAACGATCGAAGTTAGCGGTGAAGTTTGCAATTTTACGAAAAATTTAATTCATAAAAAGGAAAACTTTTGCATAAATTTTCACGAGAAATTTATATGAGAAGCCTGGACAATCGACAGTAACGAATGAAATCGAGATACTGGCGTGAAGATACACTCGAACAACTCGATCATCCTGGAACGATTGCGTAATTTGATCATTATGTTTAAACGTTCTCGGATTTCGAGTGTCGAGCGCGCAAGCTTTGAAAGTACCGTTTATTCAGAGCCTTGGAACTTGGCGTTGTCCTCTGTGCCTCGCGAGACGTAAAGACGTGTTCGTTTCATAAGAAGTGAGAAAACCGATAGCATCGACCAGCTCGAGTTTCCTGTCGTGGTGTCGATTTGCGGATTTATCACATCTCCCTTGGATTCAGTCGAGAGTGATAAAATCGTAGACAACGCGGTCGATAGTCCGCTCAATTTGCCACTCCCATCAGTTTTTCAAATTGTAGGGTTCACATAAAAAAAGAGATGAATAATAGCGTTTAAAAAAAATTTTTTTAATGGAACTTTTTCCCTTTTTTTAAAAGGCGATGCTGGAGTGTCGGACTTGATTGATGTCGATAGTATAGACTTTTTAAATTTCAAATAAAAAAAAGTTGGTACTAGTGAGCTTTAATTTATTTTTTATATTATCGTTCTGTCTCATTCAAATGCATCTAATATATTGCAAAACCGATTTTTTGCAAAATCGAACTAGACGACTGCTAGACGTAATTGCTGCTTTGTTTATCATTCTGAGTTTTTGCTCAGCATACGTATATACGTAATTTGCAGATTAATATAAATCTTTTTTTAAGCTTTTAATCTCAGTTTCATAAACTCATGGTATTGTTCGTTCACGTAATCCGAAGGATGGTGCACTGTGATTTTGTCCACACAAGCTATAAAACTTTTGTGTTAAGAAAACATTTGTCAGGTGATAGCTCTACAAATTGAAAAATAAGTAAGTTTTTAACTTCTTTTCGATTTTAGTATAAAATCCATTGCAGCACTTCTCCCAATTTTGCGTCTACTTTAGTCCTGTAAAAGGATTTTTTATTCCGCCAATTCGAAGATTTTTATCGATCTGCAATGTGTCAGCAATTTGATCGCTTCAGCATCCCTCTTGAAATTAAAAGATTAAACAAATATTATATACATTATATACAAAGAACTTAGTATATATTTTGGTATTTTAGTTTATGTTCTTAATTTTAATGAGATGAGTACACCCTGACCGATTTGTGTGTAATCGATTTTTTCTTTCTTCCGATTTAATGATTGTTGTAATTTAGAAAATTAGTAATTGTAATTTTTATTGAAAATCTATTTAAAAATCGTTAAAAATTGATCAGTAGAATTATGATTATATTGCAGAATATCTTCTTATATAGAATTATGTGCCACGAAGTTGTTTGTAGCTTAAAAGGCATAAAACATAAAAAAGATTAAGATAGTATGAGAAAGACAAATTACTTTTTGATAATGAAATTAAAAAATGGAACATATATAAGGTATATATTATTTTATGTAATTAACATCTTATATATTCTTCATATTTTTACGGATAAATTCTCTAATCATATTACACAACTTTTGTTAGAACTACAAATGAATATATAATGAGTCCAATTAATTTTCATAAGACTTTGCAAACTCGAATATATGTATATCGTGTTTACTGTCATAAAGTTAATATGAATATCCTCGCGTCATGATATTCGCGTGAAATTGCCTAATCTATATATACACATATATATATATATATCGTACATTTTTAATAAAAACGTAACTACTTTTTTGACTCCATGTCTCTCGTACGACCTTTGAACAAAATTTTAAATGGAAAACCTTTATTCGCATCACTTTGATGTCGAATGATAACAAAGTTGATATGCAATACTCGACTTTTTCTTTCGATGCTCACTAGTGGGCGGTTATATACCACCAGTCGTCACATCGGGAAAAAGTAGGTAGGTTGTGTACGAAGGATGAGAATCCTAACTGTATAACATATATGTGTGTGTGTGTGTGAGAATATATATAGATATATATATATATATCTCCTCCAGTTTCCCAGGCAGCCGTAGGGTCGTAGGATTGGATTCTCGGGCAATTCAGGACGTGACCTTCGGCATCGTTTCTAATCATCTCGGTACCTTCACGACAAGAGAAATAAACTTGTACATCTTCTGCTGTCAGACTCAGAGATGTACGTTTAATTAATTATAATGTACAACAACTGGATATAAAACTTTTTCTTACCATAAATTGTAGTAATTGTTTCAATGATTGTTATTGTTTCATTTTTTACATTACATTGATAGTTGTAAAACAAATTCGAAAAGAATTTTAAACACATGCATACGCTAATTCTTATTCCATCGAATATTACAATATAGTTCAAAATTATGTTTCTTGCCTTCCTTTTTTTCCGCCATTTTTAATCGGTAAAGTATTTGAAAAATAATTTTCATATGTGTGACAACGTGATTATTTATAGCACGCTATGATATAAAATCTTGGCAACCTTTAAATGGAAAAGGTTACAAAAGGGCGACTAACACATTTGTTAAGCAACAAGGTTGGCACTTGTTCAGCTAACTTTCGATGTTAATTTATGGCATACACCAGAGATTTCTGCTCTGTAGAGTATACCGATATAACATGATATTATTGCCGCATAGTGTTAATATCAATAATGGACAGTAATTGTTTGAACGTTACGATGCAAGAAATATGTATGTCGATAACGTTGTATTGAACCAAGTTAAAGCCGTGAATACAACTCTGTTTCGATCGCGATAGCAAATGAGGACAATTGCGTACGTCGCTAAATCGATTAACATAAAAAATAATGAAGGATACCTTTAGCGAAAGATGATAGTCGGATACTCTTGTTACGCAATCTTTTTTTTTTATTCATTACGATCTGTTCGTTCATTTTAAAACATATTTCAGTTCAACTGTCTGGAGCTCAACATTTCAGGGCACTTCTATAAACGTAAATGGTGCAAAATATAACTTTGTGCATGTTTAACTACTATAATCAAAATTTTTATAGGGGATAACCAATAACTTCTATAAATTAATTTTATTGCATCACTGACATTGGATCATTTTATATACATAACTCTAGAAAAAACAATTGATATTTTTTAATTAAATTTATTTTTTTTGCGCTTTTTGCGATCGACTAATTAATTTAAAATTTATGGCGATATTATACAAAGATATCGTATCGCATACATAGAATACGAGAAATCGGAGCTGGGTATCATATGGGGGATTATCAAAAAGCTAATAACTCAATCAATATATGGCAGAACATTCTCTTCTTGTTATTGTAGGTTGCTGATATAACATTAAATTGTTACATAAAATAATTTATGCCAAAGTATCGTGTATATTATTGTATTTACAATGACTTTTTAAAAAATGAAATTAGTAATTAAATTCTTTTTATCTCTTTTTTTATTTTTTGATAAGTTTTTAGCATTACGATCTTTAATTTTCCTATAATTGTAGAAACTGGTATGTCTTAGATAACTTTTACTATAGTTAATTAATCATTATTGTAATAAAGTTTGTAAACATAATCTTTTTTACTTTAAAAACGATTACGATTGACGAAAATGAGCAGAGGTCAATTTTAATCTTTTTAAGTCGATATGTTTCTAGAAAATATGTTTACAAATATTATATAATATTTCATATAGATACTTATGTGTTGTTTCATTTTTTGTATAAAAATTATAATATGAAAGCAAATTACGTATTTTATGATTAAAATAATTAATAAATTTTGCTTGTATTAATAATATTTGTTTGTATTGTAACATATAATCACTATTATTTTCTAAAATACAGAACTAATATTAAAATAAAAATTGTACTTTTTATGTTTTATTTATAAAAAATATGTTACTGCCAATCTTGTGATAATCAACTCCAAATATAAAGCTAATTTCACATTTTTGCAGCTTTGTTTAAAATCAAATAACTTATTTGATGATGTATAATATTTTATTATTCAAGTATAATATTTTATTTTTACACTTAAATAATGTAAATATATTATAGCGTATATAGTGTTTCAAAAAATCTTACATTCACTTTTTTCTAAAAAAATATTATATAAAGTTATGACAACCAGTCCGGGTCTTTCCTTCCCTTTGAGAAGAGGGAGAATTATTCTATGATCGCTTGTACTGACAATTTAGCTTCGGTAGCTTGAAATATCTTCCTGTTCATGAATTATATACGG